TCGTAAGTGAGATTGATTGGAATACTTTGTGTACATGTGTGCAGATGCCACAGTGAAGTCCCCCTTGTACAGCTAATGGATGCTAATAAAAAAGTTTACTTCTAATGGGTTCAATTTTCTGTTTTTACTTCTAAATTCTAATGGGAGTTCAGAACAGATAAACCAATTCTGTGGACAATTTTATTAGCATAAGTAATTATAAGGAAAGAGATTTGTACATGGAGATTTGGGGAAAGGATTCAGAGAGCTACTTTAACTGAAACCAATTTCATTTTTTCAAGGTTGAGAGCCTATATGCTATGTTCTATATCATGAAAATTAATGCTTAGTTTCTATAGCCTTTGCCCTGACAATTTCCCATGATTTATTAAAAATGGAATGAGTTCCTAATATATTAGTCTTGGGCTATAAATATGAGAAAGAAATCTGTAGTTCCTGACAGAGAGAGAAAGAGGAGTAAAGTTACCACTGACTTCTAGCTGTAAGACTCCTGACAGGCTGGAGAGAAGGAAATAAGGGGAGGAAGAGGGAGAAGAGAGAAAGAAGGGAGAATATTTGTATGTGGGGTGGGGGGGCAGTGCTTGCGCTTGCCAGGAGCTGTACCACTGAGCCACACTTCAACCCATTTTTGTTTTTGTTTTTGTTTTGATGGCACATTTGAACTTAGAGTCTTGTGCTTGCTAAACAGGTGCATTACAATTTGAGCTATTCTGCTTCTCCCTTTGGGCTTACTTGGTCATTTACAATTTTTATTGTTATTTTAAAGGTGATGTATAGAAGGGATGCTGTCAGGTAATGAGTACATTTTTTTTTGGATAGTGTCACCCCTTCTTTCATTCTCTCCCAATTTTCCCTACTCGTCCCCACCACATGGCTCAGCCATTGATTGAGATAGAGTCTTCCAAACTTTAATGCCTAGGCTGGCCTTGAAGTATGATCCTCCAGTCTCTGCCTCCTAAGTAGCTAGATATGAGCCACTGCTGCCCAACTAGGTTATTTAATAATTATCAAACAAAAATCTCTTTTATCCAGTCATTTAGTTTGAGTAGATCATGAGATTATTACCTAGCTACAAATTGGGTTAGACCCTCACTGTCTGATCGAAATAGTATGTGAAGCATTGACTTCAAAGGTTGTTTTTTGTGTTGTTTTGTTCTGGTCAGTATGTGCTTGAACTTTGCTCAAAGCTAGTGCTCTACACTTTGAGCCACAGCTCCACTTTTGATTTTTGAGTGGTTAATTAGAGATAAGAGTCTCATGGGGACTTTTCTGCCTGGGCTGGGTTTGAACTGTAATCCTCAGATCTCAGCCTCTTGATTAGTTACATTTACAGGCATGAGCCACCAGTGCCCAACAGAATTGAAAATTTTGTAGGAGCTACATTAAAGAAGTTAAAAAAGGGGCTGGGAAGGTGGCTCAGTGATAGAGCACTTGCCTTGCATGCTCGAGGCCCTGGGTTCGATTCCTCAGCACCACATAAGAAAAAAGCTGGAAGTGGCGCTGTGGCTCAAGTGGTAGAGTGCTAGCCTTGAGCTGAAGAGCTGAGGGACAGCGCCCAGGCCCAGAGTTCAGGCCCCACGACCGGACCCCCCAAAAAAAGTTAATATTTAAGAATTTATATCCATGTTTTATATAAATATTTATAGGTATAAATAAAATTTATATAAATGATATTTTATTACTTTACAACAAAGTATCATGTCTGTAATTTGATAGATATATTAAAATAATCTAAAAAGTAGCAATTTGAGATTTCTATTGGGTTATTAAATTTTTAAAATCCAGTTGTTATTTTACAGTTTAGACACATCTCAGTTTGGACCAGCCAAATTTTAAGTATCAAATAACTATCTGTGGCTAGTGCCTACTGTGTTTGACAGGATGGAAGTAAAATATAAGCTCCAGAGGACAGACAGTAATTGTAACTCCATACCTGGTGCTCCTACATAGTGCATGGCTGGCAGACAGTAATATTTTTTACTTAATGAGTGAACAAGTGAATTAATTTTATACTAAAGTACCTTTTCATTGACTCAGTATGTACCAGTATGTACTCAGTATGTATCAGTTGTGTTTGCTACACAAATAGTTGATGGAAAACTTAGAGCACTTTCCCTGCTGTAGAGCCATGTAGTGAAAATCTAAGAACATACTGCATTTCTTTTTATTTGTTCTAACACAGCCTTAAAATTAATCACCTGGCTCCAGGCAATGCAGCAAATAATACTATAGAGATTTTTTTTAGAGTTCATGCCTGTTGACCATAGCAACGCTATTTTAATTGGAGATAGGATCTCACTGTGTAGTTCAGGCTGGGTTCTTGATACTCCCGTCATGCAGCTTCCTGGGTGTTGGGATTGGCATGTGTTATTATGCCTGGCTTGTTTTCCCTATTGTTTTGATGTTTTGTTTTGATTTTTTTTTGAAATTGGGTTTTACTATATATAGCCCAGGCTGGCCTCAAATTAGTGATCCTCCTGCTGTAGGTTTATCTTATTAATTAATGAGCATTTGTGTCTTAAAAAGATCATTTCATGGGGAGGGAGGTTGAGAAGGAAAAACTGGGAGAAAATGAGGAAAGAGGTAACACTGTTCCAAAAAGAAATGTACTGATTACCTGACTTATATAACTGTTACCCCTCTGTACATCACCTTTATAATAACAATAATAAAAAGATTATTTCATAATCCAGAATCTCACCCTTGGTCATTCTCATCCCTACTGCCCATTTCCCTCCCTCCTTCCTTCCCTCTCTTTCTGTCTTTCCCATATTGCTGGAGATTGAACCCAGGCCCTTGCACATACCAAACTCAGTCTACCACTGAGTTATATCCACTTTCAACTCTTAAACATAATAACATCAAAGTTTGAAGAGAGCAATGTTTTGGTTATCCCTGTCACTGTTTACTTTGACCTAAGGTTAAAGTTAATAAAACTTTTAGACCTGTTTTGTTTCTCTGTTTAAGGTGTTATGGATGGTACAGGATAGTTGTGATATATGATCTTTGCCCTTGAGGAGCTTATTATCTATTTGGAGAAGAAAAACAAATTGATGAAGTAGAGAAATACAACTTAGTTCATTTTCAACCCTGTTTAGTGTTTTCTGTTTTCTAGGCTTGGTTATATATAGAAAGGTGAGTATAGATCATTCCTCTTCCCTCAAGTAGCTTACAGTCTCCTGGAAAATAGATAAACTATTGAATGTGTTTAACATAGTTGTAGTGAATCTGTGAGAAACAGTAATAATATCCCCATGTACAGATGAGGAAACTGAGACCCAGTGAAATCTAGTGACTTGCTCAAGGTAGCAGTTATAGAGAACTTAGATTTAAACCTAGTTCTTGCTCCTTCTGCCACATTGCTCTTCAGAGTTTCCGGAGTCATAGAAAGAGGCAGAATTCTTCATTTCAGGTCAATCACAGTGCAGTAGTAAATTTGTCCCACTGATAGAAGTTTCCCTGATACTTCATTCCTATATTTACATAATTATAGAACAATCATCTTTACTGATTATGTACATCTATCCTAATAGTGAGTAGTATGTAACTGAACCAGAAGGGCCATAGAGCCTTATTAATGAGGATGGTCTAAACATGGAGGCATTTCTCCCACTAGAAACAGGGTAGGAACTCTAGGCCGAGGGTGTAAAGGAAGGACTAGGCCTTGCTAGCAGAGAGGCTGACTGAATGGACAGTAGTGAATGTGATTGATAAGTCAGTCAGCGGGAGGGCTTTGAAATACTGGGTGCAGAACTTGTCCTTGAGCAATGGGGAACCATCAAAGACTCTTAGGATCATAGAACTGGACCAGAATGACTCATTGATTCATTGTTGCTTATTTTTTATTTGCTCTATTCTGTGTGTAATTTCTTTTGAGTTCTATTTTAAAAACATACTGTAGAAAGTGGGATTTTTATTTTAGTATAAAACCTTATTTGCTTGGTCATGAATGTTTATTTGTAGAACAGATGTTTCTCTTTCTAATGTTACAAATATTAACATCATCCTAGTATGTAGTACTAATGAGGAAGTAGATCAGTCCTTGGGGTATCAAGACAACCACAGTAGCATCTTATTCCATCCCATGTATATTGATGACTGTTGGTTCTGTAGCTACATGAGGGTTTGTGCAGACTAGAATAAAAATTATAAAGATAATACAAGTTATGTAAGGTTTTATTTTATTCTTTTACTTTAAAATAATGAAATAATTTTTCATGAACTAGTTGATATCATTTAAGCTTTGGAAAGGGGTTAGGATCTAGCTCAGTGGCAGCGTGCCTGCTCAGCATATGTGAGACCTTAGATTTAATTCCTAGTACCAGATTGGGTGGGGAGGATACTTTACAAAGCTTTGAAATCTAAATTACATAAATTGCTTTTCTTAATGCTTTTAGTAGAATGATACATGCTCTTAGAGATAAATATAAAGATCTTCCTTACTAAATATTTGGAATGGTATTTAAATTAAAATTTTGCTAGGACCCATGGAGAACCAGTTTGCTTTCTAAGTGTACACTTACAGATTGTGGAAGAATTATAGACTTTGTGTGTGTTTTTATTTACACATTACTCATTCACATTTGTGATGTAGTTCTCTAATATTCACCATTTAATTTGGTTTGCCTATTTTTTTTCCTCCTCTAAACAAATAAGAAAACTTGTCCTCTTAGCTTTTGGATTACTAAATCTCTCCTCTTCCTTTTCTTGAAAATTCCAATTTGTTAGCCATTTTCTTGAGGTTATATCATGCTATGTTGGCTCCCTTGGTAAAAATCTTTTCACAGTCCTTAAAATTTTAAAGTATTCATATAAAACAAAATGGGACTAGTTTCTTAAAATCTTAAGTAGTATGTGTGAGTGCATGCGATATCCTAAGCAAATAAAAAGCAATCCATGTTATGAATCCTCCTTGATTTCCTGTTAAAGCTCAAATGGTTGTTATTAATGTGGTTTGAGAGTATGCAGGGCTACTTGTGGAGACCTGCCCTCTTTTCTAGGCCATAGACCTCCCCCTGCACGCAGTGGACATCGTTGTGTGGCAGATAATACCAACCTGTATGTGTTTGGAGGTTACAACCCAGACTATGATGAATCCGGAGGACCAGATAATGAAGACTACCCTCTCTTCCGGGAGCTTTGGCGGTATCATTTTGCAACAGGTGTCTGGCATCAGATGGGCACAGATGGCTACATGCCCCGAGAGCTGGCATCTATGTCACGTAAGTTCAAGGAATCCTGGACTTTTCACTTTATGAACTACCTGAGAGGTCAGATCCAATATTACATGTTTCTTCTTAGTGACATATAATGCTGTAATCATATTAAACCATATGATTAGATAGGTATTTTACTTCAGTGATAATATAATATAGTGATACAGAATCACTTAGGTCTTGAATTTGAATCTGTCTGCTTACTGTTGGCTTGCCAGATGAGTTTTTAGTTTTAACTTACATAAAATGGAGGGTTTTATTTTATTTTATTTTATTTTTTTGGGTCTGGTCGTGGGGCCTGAACTCTAGGCCTGGGCACTGTCCCTCAGCTCTTCAGCTCAAGGCTAGCGCTCTACCACTTGAGCCACAGCGCCACTTCCGGCTTTTTTCTTTTTGCTTATGTGATGCTGAGGGATTGAACCCAGGGCCTCCAGCATGCAAGGCAAGCTCTCTACCACTGAGCCACCTTCCCAGCCCAGGGTTTTATTTTTTTTATTTTTATTTTATTTTTTTGCCAGTTGTGGGGCCTGAACTCTGGGCCTGGGCACTGTCCCTCAGCTCTTCAGCTCAAGGCTAGTGCTCTACCACTTGAGCCACAGCGCCACTTCCAGCTTTTTTCTGCTTATGTGGTGCTGAGGAATCGAACCCAGGGCCTCGTGCGTGCAAGCACTGTACCACTGAGCCACCTTCCCAGCCCCTAAATGGAGGGTTTTAATATAAACTTTTGTTTATATGCTAGACAAACTGTAGTCGAAGATCAAAAAATGGGGTTATGACAATGATAATGACTAGCCCTTGAGTGAAATACTTTATACATATTGTCTATTTAATCCACATGATGTTATATTTGCCATTGTACAAATGAAGAACTTGTGGAGGAGGATTAGGAGAGGCCCTAGGGTGATGACAAAAGGGCACAGGCTCTGGGAGCTTATTACCTGGGATTGAATCCAAGCTTGGCAGGAATTTTTTTAGGGAACCCTTTAAAATCACTTCCCATCTCTTTTTTTTTATCATCTATAAAAATGAAGAAATTGGCTAGGGATGTAGTTCAGTGTCAGAGTACTTGCCTAGCCTGCCCAAGACCCTGGGTTTTGTTCCCAGAAACACACACACACACACACACATATGTAATAATTCCACTGTGTAGAGTTGTTGTGAACGTTAAGTTGGGGCGGGGGTTAACTAGATTTACTGAGGTCATATTGGAATTTAAACCCAACCCACACTGGTTCTAGAGACAGGCTGTTGATTTACTATACTATATCAATTAAAGAACTGGTTAAAAAACAAAAATCTACTAAAAAAATATGAATACAAAGGCACTAATTTGAGAGAGAAAAAAAGATAAAGAACACCAGTGTTACTACAGGATAGTGGTGTGTTTCTATCTGGTTGTGGATTAAAATGACGTAAATTTAAAATGTAGAAGTCACTTTTCTGACAAATACAGAATGATCCTTTAATCTCGTCATCCTGATGCCTCATTGTACTCTGTTTTCTGCTGTGGCACTGCTCTATCCACAAATACATACTATGTTTTATGTACCTAATGATACCTCATATGATAAAACCCATACAATGTGAACACCTTTTTCTGAAGAATTATGTAGTTAACTGTGAGTGGCTGCTTTGAGAACATTTGACACTTCTGGGCTTTTCAGATATTCTGGTTTATGTAGGAACATTTTTTTTTTTTTTTTTTGGGTCTGGTTGTGGGGCCTGAACTCTGGGCCTGCGCGCTGTCCCTCAGCTCTTCAGCTCAAGGCTAGCACTCTACCACTTGAGCCACAGCGCTACTTCCGGCTTTTTTCTTTTTGCTTATGTGGTGCTGAGGAGTCGAACCCAGGGCCTCAGGCATGCAAGGCAAGCGCTCTACCACTGAGCCCATCTTCCCAGCCCCGAGGAACATTTTATAGATAGCCAGTACATAATTGAATTTGTGCTTCTTTTCCCCCAGTTGTGCTGCATGGAAACAACCTGTTAGTGTTTGGTGGTACAGGCATCCCATTTGGTGAGAGCAATGGCAATGATGTGCACGTCTGTAATGTGAAATATAAGAGATGGGCTCTACTCAGCTGTCGGGGAAAGAAACCCAGTCGTATATATGGACAGGTACCAATCTGTGGCCAGTTTTGCATTTGTTTATATTTTTATAGTTTGGAAATGACTTCAGAAAAAAATATATATATACACACAGTGTGTGTGTGTGTGTATGTGTGTGTGTGTGTGTGTGTGTGTGTGTGTGTGAATCCTGGGACTTGAACTCTGAACTTTTTTTGGGTCGTGGGGCTCTGGGCCTGTGTGCTGTCCCTCTTCAGCTCAAGGCCAGAGCGCTACCATTTGAGCCACAGCACCACTTATGGTGGTTTATTGGAGATTAAGAGTCTCAAACTTTTCTGTCTGGGGCTGGTTTTGAACCATGACCCTCAGATCTCAACCTCCTGAGTAGCTAGGATTACAGGTGTGAGCCACTGGGTGCCTGGCTGTCCCTGAACTTTTGTGCTCAAGGCTAGTGCTCTACCACTTGACCACAGTTCTATCTACAGCTATTTCTGTGATTAATTGAAGATAAGAGTCACTGACTTTACTTCCTTCGCTGGATTCATATCTCAGCCTCCTGAGTAGCTAGGAGTACAGTGTGAGCCATTGGTGCTACCATTCTTAGAAAAATGGAGAATAAATTCAGTATGATTAGTATTCGATTTTCCAGTTCTGGTGTGAAATTATAATTTGTAGATCTTGTCATTTCCTTCATCTTGTTCCCACTGTTTCTGATCTAACCTGAGATTAGAATCTCACCTGTATATCATGTCTAATGAGAGACTAGGTTCTAATTTAGTCCTAGTCCTGCCATTTTTACAGTGACAGGATTCTATTAAGAGCTGGCTGACCTAAGTAGTAGATGATCCCAGCACTTGGGTAAAAAACATGCATGGGTCTGAGACTATATGGTAATTAGGTTTGTAAAGTTAAATCCAGAAAGAAGGGAGCTAGCTACTCATCTTATATTAGAGACTCTTGAGGGTAACAGCTAAGCTTAGCAGTACACTGGTACTGCTAAGCACCTCTGAGCTTTAATTTTGAACAGGGTATTTCCTAGACCACTTTATCCTACCACGGAGGCACTTAAATTCTAAGAAGTGACCATAACAATAGCTAAATTTACATTGGAGAGTCTGATGAGACCACCAACTCTGGATTTCCTGCTTACAGGATTCTGGTGACTTATTTGCATATCACTGCTGCTGCTTCAGAGTTCAGAGGGTTTTTTTCTTTTTCTTTTTTCCTTTCTTAAATTGCTTAGACAAGGAAATAGCTTTGAATGGAAATACTCTTGTTTATGATCTAACCCTTTGTGTTTGTAGAAAAAACTTACAATTCTTTATCTTTCTAAGGGTAATAACCAAGTTCTAAAAATAATCCTCAGATTATATAAAATATTTAGTGGATTAAGGGTTTGATATTCTTTGTTTCTTTATTCATAGTCAAGGTCTAGTTTTGTTGATCAGGCTGGCTTTCTACCTCTTGGCCCCAAGTGATCCTTTCACTTTGGCCTCCCTCTGTAGTTAGGATTATAGGTTTATGATAGTACACCACCTGATTTTGTTGCTTGTTTTTGTGTGACAGGTCTCAAATTCACCATTTTTTTTAGCCTCCTGAGTGCTGGTATTACAGGTGTGAAACACCATTCTCAGCTTGGAGACTAATATTTTAGAGTTTTGTTTTTTTTTTTTTAAAGGGCTGGGAAGGTGTCTCAGTGGTAGATAGATGCATGAGGCCCTGGGTTTGATTCTTCTGCACCACATAAGCAGAAAAAGCCAGAAGTGGTGCTATGGCTTGAGCTGAAGAGCTGAGGGACAGTGAACAGGCCCTAAGACTGACAAAAAAAAAAAAAAGTGAAGCAATTGGTGGTTCACTCCTATATAATCCAACTACTCAGGTTGTATTTTTTTGTTTTTTGGGGGTTGTGGGGCTTTTGAACTCTGGGCCTGGGCGCTTGTCCCTCAGCTCTTCAGCTCAAGGCGAGCGCTCTACCACTTGAGCTACAGCACCACTTCCAGTTTTCTAGTGGTTTATTGGAGATAGGAGTCTCACGGTCTCTCCTGCCCGGGCTGGCTTTGAACCGCGATCCTCAGATCTCAGCCTCCTGAGTAGCTAGGATTACAGGCGTGAGCCACCGGCGCCCGGCCCAACTACTCAGGTTGAAATCCAAGGATTGTGGTTCAGAGGCAGCCCAGGAAGGAAGATTTGTGAAACTTATATTCAAATAATTACCAAAAAGGTAGAAATGGTGCTATGACTCCAAATGGTAGAGCACTAGCCTTGAGCACAAAAGCTCAGGCACAGTGTCCAGACCCTGAGTTCAAGCCCCCAGGACAGGTACAAAAAAAAAAGAAGGAAATAGAAAAAAGAAGTTTCATAAAACATGATTTGGGGGAATCTGGTAAGTCTATATTCTGTGACCAACAGGTTATTAACAGATTATTCTTTTTTATCTTCAGGCCATGGCTATCATCAATGGTTCCCTTTATGTCTTTGGGGGGACAACTGGCTACATTTACAGCACAGATCTGCACAAGTTAGATCTGAATACCAGAGAGTGGACACAACTGAAACCGAACAACCTGTCTTGTGACCTGCCGGAGGAGAGGTAAGGAGCTAGAATCTAAAGCATATTTGCTGAGAGTTGGCCTCTTTCAGAATAGTGGTAATGAGGAAAACCAAAGGGCGCTAGGTAAAAGAGCTAGTTGGAAGTTAGGCCCCAGGTCAGTAGTAAAGAAAAGATCTACTGAGAAGATGGTATTTTCCTCTGAACTGGGTGGGGGTGGGGGTGGGGGGGAAGTTTTCATGTTATTCTGCTTATAATTTTTATTTTTATTTTTTTGTGCTAGTCCTGGGGCTTGAACTCAGGGCCTAGGTGTTGTCTCTGAACTTTTTATGCTCAAGGCTAGATTGAGCCACAGTTCCACTTCCAGCTTTTTTTGGTGTTAATTGGAAATAAGAGTCTCACTATCGGGGCCTGGTGGCTCATGCCTGTAATCCTAGCTACTCAGGAGGTTGAGATCTGAGGATCACAGTTCAAAGCCAGCCTAGGCATGAAAAGCTGTGAGACTCTTTATCACCAATAAACCACCAGAAAACCAGAAGTGGTAGAGCTCTCGCCTTGAGCTGAAGAGCTGACGGACAGTGCCCAGGCCCAGAGTTCAAGCCCTACGACTGACAAAAAAAAAAAAGTCTTATGGACTTTCCTACTGGGGTTGGCTTGTTAAGAGGATTCTCAGGGGCTGGGAAGGTGGCTCAGTGGTAGAGTGCTTGCCTTGCATGCATGAGGCCCTGGGTTCGATACCTCAGCACCACATAAGCAAAAAGAAAAAAAAGCCGGAAGTGGCGCTGTGGCTCAAGTGGTAGAGCGCTAGCCTTGAGCTGAAGAGCTGAGGGACAGCGCCCAGGCCCAGAGTTCAGGCCCCACAACCGCCCACCCCCCCAAAAAAAAGAGGATTCTCATGAATTTATCTGCCCAGACTGACCTCAAACCAGGACACCATGTGCCCAGCTTCTAATTGCCTTCTGCAACCTAGGATCTTTCACTTTTCTTTCCTAGTAATAGTTGCTTTTTCTTAGAATTAAATTTACTGAAAAACTTGAAAATTTTTACCCTCCAGTTTAGAAGCGAAAGTTAGTTTTTATTCACTTTGCTTACTAATTTCTGTTGTGTTCTAGCAAAATAACTGTTAGGTGCTAAGGAAGCACCTTTGCTATATATCTTTTGTAGTAAGTTAGTGAGCTACTACTTATTGCAGAATTGCCCTGAGAGGACTTGAACGATGAGCTGTTACTACAATGATGTTTTATATCATTTATTTATCAGGACTAGGACTTTCAGGGAAAGAAGGAAAGAGAATTAAGTTTTGAAAACATTTTCATATTGTTGCCATCTTTGAATCGTTTTATGAACACATAAATTATTTCAGCCAGGAAGCTGATAATCCAGGAAGGATCGCAAGTTAGAGGCCAGCTTGAGCTATATATAACAAGAAGAAAAAAAAATTTTAGCATCTAGCTACCAAAACAATTACTGGTGTTTCATCTTATGTTTGTAGTTTTATGTAGCATTGTTTTGTGCCAAATATGTATCTTAATTAGAAAACTCACGGTCTAAAGGTTTCTTTTTTTTTTTTTTTTTGGGTCCGGTCGTGGGGCCAGAACTCTGGGCCTGGGGGCTGTCCCTCAGCTCTTCAGCTCAAGGCTAGTGCTCTACCACTTGAGCCATAGTAAAGGTTTCTAATTATGTATGAGTAAATCATTTTTTAACTTCTCCTTTATACAGTTATCACAAAAAAAAGGTTATAGGAAATCTAGAAAATACAAATAAGCAAACAAAGAAAAGAATAAAATCTTGGAAATGGAGGTGTGGCTCAAGTGGTAGAGTGCACAAAGCCCTGAGTTCAAGATCCAGTATTGGTACCAACCTCTCCCCCCACCCCAAAAAAAAAAAAAAAGAAAAGAAAAAGAAAAACCAAACTCAGGGATAACCAAGAATAACATTTTGCACTATATCCTTCAGGGCATTTTCTGTGCATGTTTGTGTATCTCTTAAGTTTAAATGAGATTATAGCCTATCTGCTCTTTGTTTTACAGTTACTGTTGTGAAAGGAAATTCTCAATATATTAACCATTCTCAGTGCCTGGATTATTTTTGTGTATATAAGGGACTGGGGTTTGAACTCAGTACCATGCTCTTGGTAGGGGAACCACTTGAGCCATGCCTCCAGCCCTGTGCCTGCATTTTTATTAATTGTATACTAGTCAGTTTTATGTATATTTTGTAACTTATTTAACCAAATCCACTAGTGTTAAACACTGGTTATATCTAATAATTTATTATAAATTATCCAATCTTATAGCTAAATCTTAGGTAGACTATTTTGCATTTAATTATAAATATATTTTATTGTAAGAAGTGGTGCTGTGGCTCAAGTGGTAGAGTGCTCGCCTTGAGCTGAAGAGCTGATGGACAGCACTCAGGCCCAGAGTTCAAGCCCCACGACCAACAACAACAAAACAACCAAACACAAACATATTTTATTGTATATTTTCAGATACAGACATGAAATTGCTCATGATGGTCAGAGGATTTACATCTTGGGAGGTGGTACTTCCTGGACAGCTTATTCCTTGAACAAGGTATATTTAAAGAAAAAAAAGAGTGAAGGAGAGAGGAGGATAGATAGAAACATGTACCATATTGAGCAGGGTAATTCTGGTACTTTAAGTATTTAAGCCTTTGAATCAGCTTTGTCATCAACACATGTTCTTTCTCATAGAAGGTGGAACCTTGTTCTCCTGATAGGTTTTCTAGTTGACGGTTGCATTTATCACATGCTGAAAGTACTTTATCAAAATTTCCCCCTTTGGGATACATTGTATACATGTACGAAGATGTTACAATGAAACTGGTTTGTACAACTAAGGAATGCTAATAAAACATTGTCAACATCAGTTACTGGAATAACACCAATTAATAACATTTTTTAAATGGTGGCTTACCTAAAATACATTGCCATAAAAAATAAAAAGAAAATTGTGCGGGGCGCTGGTGGCTCACTCCTGTAATCTTTGCTACTCAGAAGACTGAAAGCCAAGGCTGGTGGTTCAAAGCCATTCTGGGCAGAAAAGTCCATGAAACTCTTATCTCCAATTAACCAGCAAAAATCTGGAAATGGAGTTGTGGATCAAATGGTAGAGAGCCTGCCTTGAGTAGAAGAGCTCAAGGATAGTGCCCAGACTTGAGTTCAAGCCCCAGAACCAGAACACACACACACACAAAAGTGTCCCCTCTGCTAGATGAGGAAAGTGACTAGAAGGAATGTGTAGTAGTTTGAATGAAGCAAGTAATTAGATTTGAACTAAGATTCTCTGAATGTCATATTCCTGTCCTTGTCAGTGATGTGTCTGAAAGGAAAAAGGTATGCTCAGGGATGCACATCACTTAACTTTAAAAAGTTAACCTCTGAAGGACTTTCATTCATCTATCTCTGTGGCATTTCTAAAATGTCATGGTTATGAATCCCAGGGGAAATCCCAGGCCACAGAGCCCCAAGTCTGCCCGTGAAGCTTAATGGTCTTTTGAAGTTGTATCAGAACCACATTCCCGTTTCTCAACACTTGCTTTTTCCTTGTTATCAAAATAATACATGTTCATGTAGAAAATGTTAGCAGTACACAGAAGAAAACCAATACTCCTGTGCATTGCTTCTCATTCCAACTTTTTCCTTGATGTTTCTTTCTGTGAATTAAAAAAATCGATAGCATATATGTGCTACCTTCTTTAGTGTTTACATTAGAATTAGGAATGAACAGAGAAAAGTACAAAAAAAGAAGAGTCTTTCAACCAAGAATATATGTTTGAATATATGTTTGTTAAAAATCCAGTCGCCTATATGTGAAATTGCTCCATCTTCTGCTCAGTTTTTCTAAAATTACTCTAAAAAACTATAGTCTATTTTTTAAAATCCATTTTCAGGCTAATGAAAATGACAGTTATTTATCTGTGTTTGTTTCTTTTTTCCCCCAAGATCCATGCTTACAACCTTGAGACAAATGCCTGGGAGGAAATTGCAACAAAGCCCCATGAAAAAATAGGTAAATCAAAAACATTGATGAATTTGTCTTTTGCAAATATATTTTATACTTTGACTTGTTTGGGGAGATAAAACGTAATTTTCTTGGATGATACAAGAAAATGTTTTTTGAGTTGAGTATTAGAATTACTCATGTTCCTTAATTCATTTATTATTCTTTCTTAGCAATTGAGCAAGGAGAATTTTAACATGGAATACTGAATCCTGTGGCACAAGCAGGAAAATCAGAAGCTGTCTGTTTGCGGCCCACGGGCCTGAGAAGGCCCATTAGTAACCCCTATTCCCTTCCTGGGTTTGTTACCTGGCTTTTTTTTTTTTTTGGCCAGTCCTGGGGCTTGAACTCAGGGCCTGGGCACTATCCCTGAGCTTTGCTCAAGGCTAGCGCTCTACCACTTGAGCCACAAGACCACTTCTGGCTTTTTCTGTTTATGTGGTACTAAGGAATCGAACCCAGGACTTCATGTGTGCTAGACAAGCACTCTACCACTGAGCCACCTTCCCAGCCTGTTTTCCTGGCTCTTTAGCATTATTTTACTGTGAGGAGTTTCTAATGTGGCTTTTGCAATAAAGCTGACTGGGAGGACTAGTCAATGTTGACTAAATGAAACAAAGGCATTGTTCTGTGTTACCCCTAGTATGGCTTTCATTATGTCATGTCAGTGTCGTTCCTTGTCTTTCTGTGAATAATGGAATTTCTATGTTTATGTTCTTGACAGGTTTTCCTGCGGCTCGAAGATGTCACAGCTGTGTTCAAATAAAAAATGGTAAGTATTCTAAATAACATTTCAATTTCCATTCCTGTAATTGTATCTGCTGAGAATGACTGGTTTCCTAATCACAGTTCCTCAAAAGAGGTGCATAACTTTGGGAAGTATCTAATTTTTGTAGTTTAAACTTAGAGGGAAATTTGAAAAGTTAGGCCTCTCCTGGCAATTTTCATAATATAAGCTATTGTTGTGTCTAGGCTCCCTCAGTTTTAAGAGAACTCAACAATTGGCAATAAATTGGCTTTTATTGTACTACCTGATCTTTCAGTGCCTGACCTGGGTGGATGCCTGTGGTTATGGTTTGTAACACTAATAAAGTGACTGCAGATACAATAGAGACTTCTGTGTACACTGTATTAAAATTGTAAGAATTCCTTCTGAATTTCTTTTCATAAAGCTTTTTCTCTTCTCTATCTGATGTCAAACTCTGAGCTCATTCTTTGGCCCTGTTACAACAAAGGACTTGATTGTATGGCTTCAGAAAGCAGCAGCAGTTATTTTAATGGTGATAAATGTCTCTTCTCTAGATAACCTTCCTGTCTTTTAATATACAGCTTATTTTATAGTTTTTATGGTTTGATATATTGCCTTAATTTTTTTTCTGCGAGGTAGCAGTGTATTAATGAGTTGGATAGCCTGTATCTTTTTAGCAGACTAGTTCAGACTTAACTAGGATTATTCTGCCATCTGTAGTACAGAGGGATTGCTTTTTGGTTAAGATTTGTACATAATGGCATTATCTGGCCTTGCCCTTCTGAGAATGGAACTGTGCTTTCAGGTTTTCCTTGAATCCTAGCTAGGAAGGTTTTTACAGTTTAAGTATTGACTTAAACTTTAGTCAGACCTAATTTAGACATTTATTTGTTTGCTTCTTTTAGAACAAGCACCACACAAATTCAGCATTAGTTTGGGCATTTAGTTTCACATAGGTTCACATAGCCTTGTTCAAGTTGACTGATTAGTTACAACTCACTAATTTTCCAAAAATAACATCTACCATTCTTTCTGGGGAAAGTTGTTTCCCCGCAAAGATGTATGCAGGTCAGATGAAGCTTCAGAATGTTTCCTTCTGTTTGAAGAAAGCCAGGAAGAACCTCTTTTGTGTTCCTAATTTGTCCAAGAGGCAGACATTTGTCTCTATAGGCAGTGTGCTTTTTCTAGGACCCTTAGGTAAAAGAAGAGTTTGCAGAATGATGGTCTGTAGATGAGATCTGTTTGGATCCTATGCTTGTTAAGAATTTTGGGGAGTTATTGATCAATATGTAAAAGCAAAATGTTTGATTAAAAAATAAAGATTTTCAACTTATCTTGAAAAATGGGAAGATCTAGCAGTGGTTCACGTTAATCCCTCCATGGTGTCACTAGGTGGGAGCTGCAGAACCTACCCCTTTGTAGAGATCTCCGCTTGGCTAGGGCTTGAGCATACCTTTTTGTTTTCCCCAGACCTCCCCTAAGCTCTTTGCTTGTTCACTGTCTGCCAGGAACCTAAAAGTACTTGAATTTGAGAATCCTATCATGAAGCCTCCTTAGAAGCTGTGTCTTAGTCCCAGTGAAGTGTCCCATTTTTATTGAGAGACCTCATAACTGAGTTCTTCTTTGTTATAGGAAAGTCCACTTAGCTGTCTCCTTCCCTCCCCCCCCTCCCCCAGTCCGTGAGACTCTTATCTCCAATAAACCACCAGATCCTTTGTGTGATGTAGGTTTTTTCTTCTCTTTACAGACGTATTCATCTGTGGGGGCTACAATGGAGAAGTGATCCTGGGAGACATCTGGAAGTTGAATCTGCAGACTTTTCAGTGGGTGAAACTCCCTGCTACCATGCCAGAACCGGTTTATTTCCACTGTGCAGCTGTGACACCTGTAAGTTTTTACTTTCATGTCTTCCTTTCATAGTTGCAACTATAGATATACAACAAGAAAAACAAGGATGCTGGTATTGGCAAACGTTAGATTAAGAATGTGTTTTGTAGGTTAGGGTATATGACTCAAGTGTTAGTATAGCTACCTAGCAAGCATGAGGCCCTGAATTTAATTAATCCCCAGTATTAACAACCAAAAAAGTATTTTCAGACTTTCCTTTTGAAATGAGTCCTTTGAGAAAAGGGAAGGAAAATATCATCTCACTCATTTTAAAGAGTAATCCAAATGTGAAAGAAACATTACATAGGACATTTTAGCCCCTGACAATTCAAGCACGTTTCCTGGGAGGACAGATAGATTTACCCTCCAATGCAATATTATTAAAGATACCACTGCAGGGGCTGGGAAGGTGGCTTAGTGGTAGAGTGCTTGCCTTGCATGCAGGAAGCCCTGGGTTTGATTCCTCAGTACCACATTAACAGAAAAAGCTGGAAGTGGCACTGTGGCTCAAGTGGTAGAGCACTAGCTTGAGCAAAAGAAGCTCAGGGACAATGTCCAGGCCCTGAGTTCAAGTCTCAGGACTGGCAAAAAAAAAAAAAAAAAAAGCACTACAGATCCTTATTTCACATTTTGTATACTTAATGTAATCTAAATTCAGTGTTACTTAGTAGAGTTAGAAGTTGTAGTTAAAGCCAGGCGCCAGTGACTCACGTCTATAGTCCTAGTTACTCAGGAGACTGAGATTTGAAGATCATGGTTCAAAGCCAGCCTGGGCAGGAAAGTCCGTGAGACTTTTATCTCCAATAAATCACCAGAAAACTGGAAGTGGTGCTGTGGCTCAAGTGGTAGAGTGCTTGCCTTGAGCTGAAGAGCTAAGGGACAGAGCCCAGGCCCAGAGTTCAAGCTCCATGACCAGGAAAAAAAAAAAAATGTTGTAGTTAAAAACAAAACAAAATCTAGGAAATGGTGCTGTGGCTTAGTGGTACAGCTTTAGCCTTGAGTAAAAAAGCTCAGCGACAGCACTGAGGCCCTTAGTTCAAGCCCCATGACCACCACCATCAATAACAAAATGGAGAAAGGCAGTAAGAAAGAAGGCTGTTTCTAAAGTTCAGTGTATTCTCTTATCTGTGGCTTCAATTTCTAGGTTTCAGACATGTTCAATAAACTGTGGTCTGAACATATTAATTGGAAAATTATAGAAATAAATAATTCACAAAAGCAAAATCTATAGAGCCAGATGTAGTATTATATTACATGCCTAAAATCCCAGCACTGGGGAGGTTTGAGGTGGGAAGATCAACTAAGCTCATGAGTTTGAGGCCATCCTGGGTAATATAACAAAACCCTGCTTCAAAACAAACAACAAAAGCTTTGCTTCTTTCCTTAGAAACTTGTTCATTATTTAAGCCTTATGTTGAGATCAGTGGGATTTTTTTCTTTTTCTTCCCCCCCCCC